CCAGTGGTTATAGGAAGAGGCTGGGAGTCAGGAAACATGTGTTCTATCCCCTGCTCTGTCACTTGCTCACTACATGATCTTGAGCAAAGGACTTCATTTCCCTGTGGTTTGGTTTCAGCTGTAAAATTGAAACAACAACATTTAGCCATTTTTGTAAAGATTTTTAGATGAAAAGAAACGCAAATCAATATTATGTCATCATAAAATACAGGTTGAACCTCTCTAGTCCAGCATTCTCTGGTCCGGTAACATCTGTGGTGTGGCATGATTTTAGTTAGCTGGATATTCACTTATCATGAGTGTGGCCAAGTTTCCCGTGGTCACATAACGTTTGTTTACAGATAATAGAGCTGGCTCTCAGTGTTCTGTGCTATTAGTTAGCTCTATTTTACCCTTATATGTCTTCTAAGAGCCCAGTAAGCAGTGGAAGTATTGGCAATGCTGCTAGACAATACTGACCTCCCGTGGTTTGGCAAATTCTCTGGTTCGGCACCAGTCAGGTCCCAAGGGTACCAGACTAGAGAGGTTTAACCTGTATAAATAAATACATCTAAGTTATCGGCTGACATCACTATTACACAAAGCAGTCTAAAATACTTATGATGTTCTCATTACAAATCCTTTTGTATTTTAAGTCTCCTTCATGAAACCCTGACAGTTCACAGCATAGTAAGACAAGCCAGATTTTTGCACTACAGCTGCAATATCTTTTATACTTGGGCAGCTGGCAAAAAGTGAGAAAAATCCATTAACATGCTAATGATATGTCCTATTTAAAATTCTAGCTCTGACTATTGTGTGATTAAATCTCTTCCCTTGACGTCTGCTTCGTTATATCGAAGTTACAGTGAGAAATCAACAATATTAATAAAGTACAATACAGATGACCAGTTTAATCACAAGGAAAAGAAAAACACATACGTACATTCTAGTTAGCGTTTCAAATTTCTTGTGAAAAACAGATCCTTCTAAGCTACCAAAAGGGTGTTATTTTCATAAACAAAATCAAATTCTGAAAAGGCTCACAAAGTTAAAAAGTAACAATTCAAGTGAGATGATGTGCAGAAATAGTCAATGAGGAGATCAACACAGGAAGGATTTGCCAGAGTAACAGGTTTCAAGGAGAGATGTGGAAGAATAGGGGAAGGAGATGATTTTTCTAAAGATAGACAGTAGCAAAGAAAAGCACAAAGCAAGAGAGGGAAGACAGGTAACCAATGACTGGCCACTAGTTTGACTGTCTATATATAAAAGACTATCAACTACATCACTGAAATAGACTAGTATAAACATTTGAAAAGGGAAACTAATTTCTTGTCATTGTAGGGTTAGCTCAAATGTACGCCCCTCCAGTGCAACTCACTTAAGAGGAGTCATACAGAACGACTGGATTAGCAGCACAGAGTGGCTAATCCCACACTGCGTAACTAGGTTAAGAGTCAGCAGAACTCAAGCTTCAAACCCACACCCTCTGATAGGCCAGCTCTAAACCACCACTCAGCTTGAGCTAGAGATTTTTGAGTGTGCGCAGGAGTCGAGTTGTGGCCACCCTTGAGGCATACCTTGAGGTAGCATGGCAACGAAGGTGCGCCCTCTGAAACACTTAATATATAAATATACAATTCTGAAAAGCAGGAGGGGAAAAATGGTCCCAAATCAATTTTTAAAAATGAAAATGCTTATTCTCAATTAAATGACAAAGACTTTACATACATAATAAAATAAAATCATGACAATCTGTTTCTTTTACCTCTTTCTTGCTGTTTTTGCTATTGCATTCTAAACTCAAATCAACAAGGACTTGGGTTATTAATTTTACAAATTCCTAAATAGTTATAATATTGGCATTTTGGGAGGGAACAATAACTCAGAATCATTTAGTTTCTAGTTCTTTAGGAGCAGGGCATCAATGCACAATTGGAGTTCCAAGGAGATTTTTAAACTTCACAAACCATACTAATCAATTAGCAGAAGGGTTTGTTGAAGTCATCAGATTTCACTGACAGTCATTTTGCAATCATCGTTTTTCCTTCATTTTAGTGACTGGATGCTGCTATGCCTGAGGGCTCCTGTTTCACTCTGCCACAGCTATCTCCAGGAGGACATAATCCACAATCATATTTTAAACAAACAAACAATCTCATTTCTCTAGTTCCCTCTGCTTGCTCTTTGAGATGTAGATATTCTTCCTCTAAATGTTCCTGCCCATCATTCAGGGACTTACATCAATCTTTATTTCCAAGGTAAGTTTTTCAAAATATTCCTGTTTATCATAAAAATGAGGTGTGTGAATACTGGGGTACTTACCAATCCTTTCTACCATTGATATTCTAAATATGCATCATTTTGTGATGAGCACAAAAACATCCCCAAGTCCAAGTTACTCACTAATTTCAATTGCCTATTGCTAAAGTTAAGTGCAGTAATAACCTTGAAAAAAACCCTGTCCTCATCACCAGTCTGTCATAGAAAACAGCGTGCGTCATTAAATAAAGGACAGCAGCAATCACAAAGAAAGCCTTCTCAATGATAATGTGCCATCTTGCAGTTTAGACTATTCCATGTTTTATTTTCCAAACATAAAAGTACTATGTGAAAAGACAACTGGCCCCTGAAACTCAGTGTCTTTTTCTAAATGCAAGATATTTACCACTTTCCAGAGGCTTGATTTCAACTAAAGTTCACATGCCACATGTTCTCAAATCTAAAGGAGTGTCTTCCTTCCAAAAGTAAAATGGTGTAGCTATATGAAGAATAAATAATTTAATGATTTACACAGCTTTCAGCAATTTGTGCTCCACAGGGTTTTACTGCATACAGAATTAACTTTCTTCATTTATTCTTGTAGAATCACAACAAATCAAATTGCAATCTGTATAGTAAATCTCCGACATATCAGTGCTTTACAATTTATTATTGTTTTAATTAGCAGTAAATTTCAGCACAATATAATGCCTCATTGCATACATTCATTGTTTCAAAAAAAAAAAAAAAAAAAAAAAAAAAAAACACTGTCTTTGAACGGCTGCCAGTTCTGTTGCTTCAACAAGCTCACAAACATTAGTCTGAAAGCTCACTGAACAAGAATTCATCTGTACCATTTGGA